ATTACTTGTTCAAATATCACCTTTTGGGGTTAAAGCGAACCTCCTTGCGGTGGGATGATGTTTCGGCTGGCAACCTCTGACTCGACTTGGCTTGGAAGTCACAAATGCGGCGAGATGTCTTTTATCGCGCCAGGAGTCGAGACCTGCAGCGCCCGGCACAGTGCCGAGATGGACGGATCCGAGGGGGAATCAAAGTTGTCACTGCAAATGGGTGTGCCTTGTTGAAAGGAAAGCAAAAGGAGACCCGCCGATTTTGGGGGGTCCCCTATTTTAAGACACACCAAAAGGGCCCATGGGCCTTTGGGACTTGGTTTTTGTGACCAGCCTGTTTTACTGACCCCAATTGAAAAGCGTGTCGAAGAGAAAGGTAAGAAAACAGGGCCCTTTTTGGAAGCATGGAGCCCAACTTTGAAAAGAGGGGGGGGGTCCTAGACACAAATTACTGGTTTTGGGGTTCCATGTTACTCGTTGATTGTGTGACGCGTGTTTGTTCGCGGGTTGAACGGCCAGAGAGTTGGCGATTGAGTGCTGCTGCACTGGTGCGCAGGATTCGTGTAGTTTATCAGCCCCGAGTTGCCGTGAGCTCCACAGCCATCCTTCGCTCGGACTTGGGTTCGCCAGCTTGCACCAAAGGCCAATCATGCGTGTATCCGAAAGAAACCCACTAGATGGAGCCCAGATGCTGTAAGGTTCGCAAGGCACCAGCCTTGACTGCTCCATCCGTGACGTTTCTGGATGCTGGAAGCTCGGATCGCTTGGATGGGGGAAGGTCAGAGCTCAGACGGGATTGTCTCCAAACAAGGAAACCCCCCGCAAAATGAGGGTTTCTTTGGCAACAAAGGGTTCACCACAGACAAACCCACCGGAAACGTGGCTTTGAGGCTGGCGAGATTGTGGAGATTGCGGAGGTACGGGGAGGCAACGTGCAAGAACAAATCACGTGGACGCTGATCAAAGATCTGGCTAGGATGGATTCGGATTGCAGATGCAGAGAAAGATGCTCGAGATGTGTCCCCAGCTTGGAATCTAGCTGCTTAAGCTAATGGGGATGTCGGTGTGAAATCTAGGGCCATTGTTGGGTGTTTGAAGCACATTGCACCCTTGCACCTCATGATTTTACGTTTGACTTTCTGGTGAGCAGGGAATGAGTTGGAACCCCAAGCTTTCACGATGGCTCCGGCATTTTTCCTGATCCATATCATTCTTGAAAACCTTTCTGGAATTCCGAAATCGTTCATTCCCGAAACCCAAAGGATTTCGTCATCGAGCAAGCTGATCTTAGGTCTGAGGACTGCGAAGCTTGGGCCCGGCGCTTGGTTGCTTGGGGTAGTCATCGCGGATGTCGTGATCAAACGCTGGGGTAGGGAGGGATGGTCGTATCCTTCATAGGGAACGCCATGGTAAGGGTTCCTATAAAAGGGAACCCTGACCCGTAGCTGCCGGAGTTGATGGAAGCTTGCGCCCGACAAGTAGTGTCACCCCAATTTGATTTTGTCTCAAATAAGGCCTCGAGATGCTCTTTGGTTTACCTTGGTTTCCCTTTTTCACGGGGGGAACACCTCGTGGTCGTCAGGTGCTGCAAGATGGAAAAGCTGTCAGCTTGGGCATCCTGTGCCCTGGTTGCAATCAAAGGGAGTCCCCAAACCACAAATTCCGGACAAATCGTCGGACAAATGCGGGCTTTTACTCTTGCGTTTCTCGGTATATGCCCGGCGCTAGCCTGCGCGGAGGCTGGAGGACTGCATCCCCCGGTGGTTCGAGGTGGCAGTGCGCTGAACGAAGAATCTGTGAATGCACGTACCGCGCACACGCTGGGTGTGGGCAATGTGTATGCGAGCAATGTGGGTGTGCATTGGTTGCGCCCTTTGGTCTGAACATGAAGTCGCTCCGAAGCATGAGGTCTTCGAGCCGCAAATCCCAGTTCGCAAGAAGGCATCGGTCCAGGCGCGGGAGCGGTTCTTTTTGAAGTCGGCACGTCGGGTCGACTCGCGCATTATTGATTCGCAGGCGCCGGCCATTGCGTTCTTGCAGGCCGGGGAGGTGATACAGGCCGGAAGTGGAGCTGAGAGCTCATCCTGTTGAGCAATGGCAGTGGAATAGGTGTGTTCCCCCAAAAGTGAAGGAGTCGCTCTTGAATGGGACAGTCCCCAAGAATCAAGCGGAGGTTTGTTGGTGGGTCAACATCTACAGGGCCTTGGGGGTCGCTGCCAGCTCAGTTCATTCGACAGGCCGAGGAGATTTGGCAAGGTTGGGTGAGGCTGGTTCATTTTCCAGAGCGCTTGGAGTCATATTGTATCGCTGAGATCGTTTCAATTTGGCAGCATTGCATCCGGAATTCCAAAAGTGGTTGGTGGACAGAAACCCCAAATGATGATCTCCACCAAAGGGTCTCCATTTAATTTTCATTCCCATTTCGTTGCTATAGGCACTCCTGCCTCTCGCAAAGCCAACTGAGAAGAAAGCCTGTTTTGGGCTACCTTCACACAGTCATGGACAGCATGTTCAGCGATGATTGAATGACGTTAAATGCAGCGAATCGAGAGATGGGCAAAGGACAGCTTTTAGGGCTACGGGCAGGTCCAGTTTCATGATGTTGAAGATCCAAATTCGATAGCTGTGTCCGGGGTCCACGCTTTATGACACGAGCGCCCTAGAATATTCTGCCTCGTGTGGCTTTATGGAGCAGGGCCTTTCGTGCTGTTGAGAGTCAGGGCACATGAGCAACTGACAAAAACACGAGTCTATGGGAGTTGCGGAGGACGTGGGCCCCGTGGACTTAGGGGCGCTCATGTGCGGCATGTCAATTAAAACAGAAGCGGCTGAAAGCAAGGTGAGGTTTGATAAACATGTCCGCTATAATCTATGGTCAATGTAGGAGGGACAGGGGATTCAGGAAAACTACGCATGTCTTTTCCGGAAACTGCATATTTCGACACTGGCTCAGATGCATCCTTTCTGCACCAATCGGGGTGAGCTCACTGCTAAAACAACGAGCTCATGAAGGTTCCCGGTTATAGGCTCCTGACAGGGGGTCCTGGTTTGGACAATTTTCCTTAAACCCGGCCGCAGTGGACGAATCAAGATTGGTCACTTCCTGAATTCTAGTCCTGACGCTTTGGAAAGACGCTCGAATTTTCTGTGAGGCACCCGAGCTTAGGAAAGAGATGTTGGGAACAACAGACATGCTTTCAGCCTTTGGTCCCCATGGGCTCGGAACTGCGAGGCTCTCGGAGGAAGACAGGGCTCGTTTGGACATCTCAGAGGATTGTGGATCTTGGGCTGCGAGCTCGGGGCGGTGCGACCGGGGTTATGGTTAATTCATGAAAGGGGGGGCCACCTTTTAACAAGGGAATGCACTTCAAAGCGATAGTATGCTGTCAGGGATTGCCACTTTTTTTAATGATAAGTGAGTGATGTTCAAAGCGATATGGGAACGACCGACATTGGTATGCCAGAAAGAGTGACTTTCCACGGCCATGTTTAAACACATTGACATTGCGTCCACATCCTTTTAAAGGGAAAGGCAAACCTGCGGTGTCTAAACGGGGAACCCCCAATGTTTGGAGTAGTTTCCTTGTCCTTTTAAACCACCCGCCCACAAAGGTACCCTGAAAAACACGGACAACCACACACACACACACCCATGCCCATGCAAGAATAGTCAAGCAGCGACAGGTAGTTGGCCCCTGGCAGCAAAGACTTTTACTACTCTTGGCTGCCAGTGGACTCCTTGACACGCAACTCTTGACTTTTTCTGCTTTTGTTCCGCCCTTGCGCAGACATGGTCACTGTGTTTATCTTTCTGGCTGGCCGCATGCAGCCTCTTGCAAGGATATAGCGCCCGAAACGATGCTTGGGAGTCGTGAGTTTGCAGGAAAATCTCCCAGCGAGCTGGCCGAGTTTCAGCTCATGTCGAGGTCATTTGAGCAGCGCCCAAAACCCCACAAGCAGCAGCTGCTCCACTACCTGGCTTAATTCGGAGTACGAAAAAGCCTACATTGCAGCTATAACTTATAACCATGCTGGCAGAACCAAAAGTTGTCAATCAACCCCATGGAGTCACGTGCCATAAGGTCCTAATCGATGGACATGCAAAAGGAGCTGGACGATTACTGGCTGCTTGTTTGCCGCCCGGCTGGCCTGCTCTTCACAAATTACCACCCCTTTGTTGGAAGAGGACAGAAGCTGACAGGGGTCCCGCCAAAAGGTGTTTTACTTTTTCTGATTGCTTTCGCCGGGGAAAAAGGATGCGTTGTTAAGACAATCAAGTGGACACTTTAGGTTCCCCCAAAAAGGAGGCTTTGCCCGCTGCCGATTGGAGGATCACCCTACTTCTGGCAGCCATGTTTAGATTGGATGAGGCGCCCCCCAGCCACAGTTACAAGGACCGGCAATGAGAAACCTGCAAGACTCGGGTCCCTCAGCTGCAAAGCATACTCTTACGTGGGTGCGACACAAGGCAGAAACGCACAAAGACACACGCACAAACACGGAAAGACACACAGACGCAGACACACTTCAAGGAGAAAACAACACAGTACCCAGATGGGTCACAGGGTGCGACTCTCGACTCTTTACGTGACGCGCCAGGCCCTCTGATCAACGGACCATTGATGCCGAGGCTTAAAACAACGCGTTGCATCCGCTCATTCAAATCTGCAACATTGGACACGATTTGGGCAGGGGGACCCTTTGATGGAGTAAAAATCAGAGGCATGTCTTTTTCACCAAGGCTGTTGCAAATGACCGAAATGGCGGAATGTGGGATGCTTCCTTGAGACACATCCATTTCTGGTAGGTCTCGAGGAGTTTCGGCTTCAGCTGTGCAGCCATGCATGCACTGTTATATCTTGAATGATCACATTTGTTTCTGGGCCAGAGAGATGCAGCTTGCTATGTGCTGTTTCAGTCTTAGCAACACATAGCTGCTGCTGGCTACTGACACGCTTCACATTCAGCATCCTCAACTGGGTCTGGGCAAGTTTGTCCAAATGGAAGACATGGAGGCGAGCTGGGGGCGGGGCCACGCACCTTACCTGACGTAGAGGATCTTTGGATCCTTGTTAACAGGGTGTTCTTCGATGCATTTGGACCAGTCAAAATCACCCTAGAGGACCCAAAGCCTTGTAAGAGAGGTAGATGACTTCTTTTCCAGGAACTTGATATACTGTTGGAGAAGTTGGGCCCTTGAGTTGGACCCTCAAAGCAGATGTTTGTTAGATGGCTTGAAGGACCCCTTTTCGGTCAGGATTGGATGCCCGTCCTTTCCTTCGAGGAGGCGCTGGAAGCCGGCTCCGAGGAGGCCGGCGAGTTTGGGCTAAACACTCTCTTGGGGAAGAGTTGCCCTCGTCCGCTAAAATGGGTGTTCCTGTCTGAGGGCTGGACTGTTTTCCTTTAACAGGGCCACGTTCGTGGACACAGGGTGAAGTAGCTGAACATTGGGATCGGTGTGTTTGGGGGGTGGGGGGTGGGGGAAGCTGGGAGTTTCACGGGTGACAGTGGATGAGATTCTGCTTTATGTGGGTAAGGGAGATGACTATCACAAAATGGAGGGCTGGTCGTTAAAACTAACTTTCGACAAGTGTTGGCTATAAGCGAATATCCCCTCATCAGAAGCATTTTATGCGTGGGATGCGTAGCCATCACCAAGGCTTCGCGGCCCTCTGTGGCCTCCCGACGTCGGCAGAAGCGGGAAGAGCGGAACAAGATCCGCAACTCAGCTGCATGTCATGGGAAGTGACCGCCGCTTTCTTCAAGAAACCACTTCCTTCGGGTTCCGAAAGGTCAGGTGGAAAGGTCCCTTTGGGAGCTCCTTTTCCAAAAGGACAACACAACACATCACACCACCATTCGAAAGGGTCCTAAGGAAACAGCCCCCAATGGAGGGTATTTTTCCCTTGAGGGGTGTCCCTTCGTGTCCCGCGCGCGCTGAGGCCTTGCGCATGACAAGGCCCGAACCCGAGAGCTGCGGGCCACCCACCAGGTACTGCAGGCCGGAGGTCAGGGTCGCATGTACCGATACAACCTCCATTTCGAGGGCAATCCGTGCAAAAAAGTCCAGTAGTCTATGGTCCGTTTGGGGTTCGGGACATGAACGAGCTCCAAATATCAAACACCAGGGGACTCGATGTGGCAAAATTTGATGCGGTGTAGCCAATCCAGTCGGCAGGGGTTGAAATGTGCCAGATCTCATCATAAGGTACCCTTTAGGGCGCGTTTGAACAGGAAGCTCGCCAACGTAGGGTTCACTGACAATTTGTGGATCAATATCAATTGTTTGGGGAGGACATGGCCCAAATTTCATGCACAAGAACCATGCGGCCAAGTTTTCCATCATGGGGAAACATTGGCAATTTTCTTTCCCGGGACTTGCAGTTGCGGTTTGTCCGCCAGGCTCTTCATGAGGCTCTGCCTGCCTTCGGGCACAAATCGGGGTCGGACGAGACGGCGGAAACGGGAAGTCGAAAAAGTCACCCGACAGAAGAGGAGGTAGATGCGCAGCTTCTGCGGGCAGCTGAGATCTTACAGGCGCCTTTGTGTTTGTCAGTCAAACCCTGGTCCATTTCCTGCGAAGCGAAGCCAAGAAGAGGTTGTTGAAACAATCAGCAGGTCCCTTTCGAAGAGAAAATTAAAAAGAAACTGAAGCAATAGTGGTTCAAACATGGTTGAATAAGGGTTCAATCGCCCAACCTTGCAGGTAGAGTCGCCCTATCGCGGCATGCCTCAAGTTTTCGCACCGCCAGAGGGGCTTGACATTCTGCTGACCATGATTGATCGGCCGCCCAAGTATCAGGAGGGAGCCTGGAAATCGCCGTAAGCAACATGCAGCCGGTTGTTGCGCAGTGTGGTTTAATTCATTGGTTTAACCCAGGAGTTTTTTCAGGGGCCAAGTAACGCCACCACCGGGCCCTTTTCACGTGCCCCTTTGAAGTAACCCTGATCAGGAGAAGTATTTGTCCCAGGAGTGGTCCCTCATTTCCAAGGTTTGGGCCTTGGCAGGTGAGCCCAACCTTGACAATCGGAGGGGACTGGCAGTGGTGGATATTGGTGCTGGAAGCCTCGCCGGACTTAGCTTGGAGCTTTTTATCGCCCGCCTCGGTTTTCCCGTTTTGCACTTTCAACCAGCCAAAGACTCCTGCCCGTTTAACTTCTTGCCTGCTTAGTGTTCCTTCCTTGTCTCTTAGAATTAACGTCTCCACTCTATGTGGTCCCCCGATTTTGAGACACCCACTTGTCTGCAGGAAATGGGAGCCTTGCCTTACTGGCGGCTTTACTCCTGGACGGCCACGCCGTGTTGATAGACCACACCTTGCCGCCAGAGCCGCTGCGCGTCGAGGATGGGCGAGGTTTTGGGGCATTTTCTGTCGGGAGTTCTCTTTCGAGGGATCCGTCAAGAAGACACGCACAAAGCTGGGGCTTGCCCACCCCCCCTTTCCCTCCAAATGGACCATAGATCAACATGGAAGCATCCCATTTGTGCCATGGCGAAACCTTCCTTTG